CTGTAACTGGCCCAAATTGAGACAGGATGCTGTAGCACTGCAAAGCTATACTCAATGACATTTGCTTGTGGTGATTCAGCAACTGGTTTTGCTTGTGCTCAGGATATAACTAAGGTTTTGTGTGTATTTCTTTATTTTGATGTGTTTTATTTTGTTACTAAATTCTATATTTTATTAAATTTCTACACCGTCACTTTATCCAAAGATCACAGTGTAGTTTACAATATAAAAACACAATAATGTACAATAATGATAAACCCCACAGTTTAAAAGGCCAGATTGTTCAATGAGCTAAAGGGGGAGGAGGGATGTTTTTGCCTGGTGCCTAAAGATATGTAACAAAGGTGTCAGGCGAGCCTCTCTGTGGAGAGCATTCCACAAAAGGGGAGCCACCACAGAAAAGGCTCGTTCTCGTGTTTTCACCCTCCAAGACCTCTCATGGAGGGGGCACATGAAGAAGGGCCTCAGGTGATTATCACAGCTTCTGGGTTGGTTAATACTGAGAGAGGTGGTCCTTGAGGTATTGCAGTCCTGAGCCACTTAAGGCTTTATAGGTCAAAACTCACACTTTGAATTGTGCCTGGAAAATAACTGGCAGCCAGTGCACTTGGGCCACGATTGGTGTAATATGCTCAAACTGTTTTGCCCTGGTGAGCAACCTGGCTGCCGAGTTCTGCACCGGCTGGAGTTTCCAAACTGTCTTCAGAGGCAGTACCAGATGTAACATGTTGCAGTAATCTAAGGTACAGGTTACCAGAGCATAGACAACAGTAGTTAGCTTATCACTGTCCAAAGCTGATGGAAGGCACTTGTGAAATGGATTCAGAAAGTACCCCCAAGCTACGTACCTGCTCTTTCAGAGGGAATGTAAACCTATCAAGAGCAGGCAATCACCCATCAATCTGCTCTAGGAAGCCACTCACTACTGAAGTATGCTTCAATCTTATTTGGATTGCAACCTATATCTTGCAACCTGGACATTGGAAGCATACTTTTAAGTCCCTCAATGTAGAGGCAGCTCCAACTTCCAACTCTGCTGTTTTGTGATTTTGTTGACATATATATTTTTACTGCATGCTTAAGAGACATTCTCCGTCCCCAAGGAATCCTGGGAACTGTAGATCAGGGGCAGGTAGGAGGCAGGGACACATAATTGTGAATATTATTAGCACCCCATGGTGGACCACAATTCTCAGGAATATTTGTGGAAAGCCGTAAGTGTTGAATAGATAAAAAACCAGATGTTAATTTGTAGCGTAAATAGGTCCTGTGGTCCGAAAGGGTATTATTTATTATTTTGAGCTGCTGCTGCTGCTTCTTGTGAGGGGCAACCCACAGGTGTTTGTTCCTGGAGAGTTCATTGTGATTGTTATGCCCTGCATCTTTATTTTCTTTGTTCAGGGAATGATTCCTTATGAATTCATGTCTGTGTATTTGCTTTGTTTTACTTAGCTCTGAAGTGCATATCATGCTTTGGGGTGCCATAAAACAATAATCTTGTTACTTGCAAGTGTGCTGTTTATGGCTTGTAGCTCGCTTATTGCTGTGTGCTTAATGACAATGGGGATGGGCAACTAATTTGTTATCATTCAGTCGCTTATGAGCCTGCTCCAGCATACGTTGGTTTAATTCATAGGCTGCTTTGACTCTCATTTCTGTTCTAATGTTTCTGGACCATTTACACTTAACAGTGATGGGAGCATAAATAGCAACACTCATGAACCCAGATTTCTAGGCACACAGTAACATTGTCATTTGGTCATATGCCACAAGGCTTATGCAGGGCAACATTATTATTTTTATTCTATCTGGCTCATCAGGGGGTTTTGGCTGGGCCCTCAAGAACTGGTGATGAACCTGGGGCATTTCCAAATGACCGCATCAGGTGTCCTTCATAGGCATTTGAGCTACTGCATCAGTCTCCCAGCTGACTTTTCAGTGGCTATACTAAAGCTTGAGTTTGTACATAATAGGCGGAGGAATAGTTTTACTGTGAAGTATGGTGAAAGAGGAAAGGGCTCTTGCATCTTTATTTAATGGTTGTGTAGGAGAGGCAATATCAGCAGGTGTAGCTTGACACAAGGGGAGGTGAAATCTCAGAGAGACACATCCCTTCAGACTTTATCCTTTAAATTGCAGCAAGTGGGAGGTAAGGAACGTAGTAGAGACGAATATTTTCTTCTGAATACATGGACATTGTTCGTGGCAGGCTTGAGTTGCAGCCATCTCTTGCATAATAGGATATGAACACAGAGGTTGGCTTTGCACCTTAGGGAATGGGAAGCGACTGAGTCTTTGCCCTAAGCTTCCCGTAAAGCCTTGTAACCATAGGAACAGCACGCATGGCATGGGCTAATGAAGCTGTAACTGCCAGGCCTTAAGAATGAAGGAGCCCCCTGTGATTCCAGAGTAAGCAGGACAGAGGCAGGAACAAAGTTGTGGCCTTCACAGTGGTGGGTTTTGAGATATTTTAGCACCAGAGCAAGCATGAATCCTGCCTCAAACAAAGGAAGATGCAGCTTGACTTGCTCCCTCCTTAGCTAGTTGCTTTTGGTGACTCACCTCCTATCCTAAGTCCTGGGGCAGATAACGAAACAAGGATGACCCATTAAAATGAGGAGGACATGCAAGAGTATATGCATACTTAGGTATCTACAACTACTTTCCTGTTGTAAACCACTGACACACAAAAAACTGCAGTGTTTTACGTTGCCTCTGAAAGATGCTCAAGCTTGGGGGGAGGCGCATTCAGTAAAAGACGACTCATGCTAAGGGGTGAGGTAAAGGATAGCAAAGATGTGACGAGACAGGAAAAGGTGCTGGTTGAAATGTAATGTTGTACTCGTGTGATTGCTTCTCCAGCACATTTACCACACAATCCCATAATTGTCTGCTCAGAAATAAGCGTCACTCGATTGATTTCCAATTAAGTATGTAATCCTATTAAGAGTGTAACAGTTGGGAGTAAGCACCATTGGGCATGGTGGTATTTACTTCTGAGTAGACATGCATAGAATTGCACTGTTCCATTAACCAGCACCAACAGATGAGCTTCCTTCCTTTTCCTGAACCATACCTCTTCTCACATTGCTCATTTGATTTAATCTTCATATGCGCTGCTCCATTTCCCCTCTCGTCTATGTCCTGGTTATTTTCTGAGTCATCTGCCATTTGAACCTGCTGATAAGCCTAAAAGTGAATTCTCAGTTGGTCCCTACGTTTATGATAGGGCATGGTAAACACAAAATGGTCCAAAGAAAATTTGGGCGTTTTTCTTCCTTTTAAAAAACAAACAGTATCTTGGAGAATGGGCATGTGAGAGTTTAAGGGGTTGGGTCGCTGGCCGGCTACCTGAGATCCTTTCCAACTCTGATCTCTGATGTGCTCTGCCTGCAGATAATCTTTGAAGGCGTCCGTGGCACAGGCTCAGAGGGAGATATTGCCATTGATGACGTCACTCTAAAAAAGGGAGATTGTCCAAGGAAGCCTGTTGTCCCAGACAAAGGTAATGGGTTATATTTGGCGTAGTGTTTGAATACTTGTATCCCAAATCAGAAGTAAAGGTTGGGAGAATTCTGCATGTTGACTTGACTGTTTTGCATATTTGCTTATAGCAGCAGGGTCCATTATTGATTAAGGTGTGTGTACCTGCCTCACTTGAATTACTTCGGTGTTCCAAAGTGGAGTCAATGGCACAGATGAGATTACTGGTGGAACAAGAACTGGGAAACATGCCACACAATCACCCGATGGTTAACCAATTTTCCATATGTTGTTGCAAATGGTTTATTGATCCTCGTAACCTTTGCCATGTTCGTTAACCAAAGTTGCTCTTTAGAACCCTTAATCATCATCGTTGCCCCCCTCTGCACACATTCCAGCTCGTCAACATCCTTGAACTGGACACCATACTCCAGGTGTGGTCTGACTAAGGCAGAACAGAGTGGTCCTGTTACTTCTCTTGATCAGGATACTATACTTCCTTGAATAGCATGAGCTTTTTCTGTGGCTGCATCACATTGTTGTTGTTTATACTGCAAAAGCAGGAACACTTACCATAACTAACCCTTCTTCTTTCTTTCTTGCCCTGCAGCAGTTGTCCTTCCAGAAAACGGTGCCATCACCCAAGACAAATTTCCCCTCTGTGGACCGTTACTTTTCTTCCTTTTTGTCCTGCTCAGATGATAGCAAGCGAGTACGTCCGTCTTCTGAGACTTTCCTCCTCCTTTCCTACTTGGTCACCTCTGCTCCTCTTCCTCCCCCTCCTCACTGGCACACCAAAGTGTCCATACCAAAGACTGATAAGCATGACGACGCAAAGGGGATCCAGCTCAGAACATGGAAGGATTCCTGGAGGAAGTCATAATGTCTAAAAGAAAAAGAAAACAAATCTTGATTATTAAAAAAAACAAAAACACAAGAGAAAGAGGGAGGAAGGAATGGAAAGAAGAGATGGAAACAATGGAACGAAAGGCAAAGATGAGAATGACAAAGCTATTTAAAAGGATGAATGAAAGCGGGGGAAAGCCACATTTCCTTGGGAATAGTGGACAGGACTTCCTCAGGGAAGTGGGAACTTTTGTTTTAAACAAAAACAAAATATATTAAAGCACAAATTTCTACAAGAACTGTTACCTTCTTTACCACAGAGCCTCAGTTTAGGAGACAGTCTAGCACAGCGCCCCCTTCTGGATCTCTGTGTTATGACCTTTCCCTGGCTGGCTCTGCCTACGATCATCTGTCTGCTGCAGCACCACCTCACCTTTCCGAAAGAGCATCCCACTCGTCTCCATTGGGGGCTGCTCCTCCCTGCGTGCCGGTGACCACGGAATCTCGCCCCCGCTGCATGTGCTTCAGAGTCTCCATATGCATTTTCAAGACTCTCATGTATTTACTTGTCCATGTGCAATTTGCTTTTGACCCATCCTTCACACCTTTGTGCCCCCCAACTTTCGCTCGGCAAAGCAGAGAAACAGACTCGTTGCGGATGGTGGAGATGGATGGAAAAAACCTGGGGCAGACGTAAGCTGCAGGATCAGCTGTTGACCTCCTCTGCCCCCTCCCTCTTTCCCCCCTTCTCAAGCTGCTCAGCTCTCCCTCCCTTTGAACTTGTTCTTTCCACCACTATGGAGGTAGATTGTCAATCTAGCATAGGGAATGAAAGAAGAGGCTTTTTGGTCAGGGGCCTCTTTGGCAAGGTGACCAAATTGTGATGCTGCACTTGGCAGCGTCAAAAGCATGAGCTGCAGAAGCCTTAAAGCAAGGATCTCCTCTGAGACAAATTATTTAATAATAACTGTCTCCCATTCCATTTTTTTCCCATAATTATCCCACCAAAAACATTTTCATATACTACCTTTCATCTTCTCCTAACCCCTTATGACACCTGAATTTGCAATAGTTGTTTGTTAATTGTAGTACCTACCTGTGGCTCAGTACTAATTGCAGGGTGCTGATATCATGGTGCTTAATTTACCACTCAAGGATGAGACTGGTCTATTTCAGTTTGCATGATGAAGTTGGGAGACAGGTGGAGCCCTCAAGCCGGGTGATGAGCAGAGGAAGCAGGAAAAGAAACAGACCAACCTCACAGGAGTTGGGGCAGGTGGATGCACAAGGACAGAAAGCTTAAAGGGAATTAGATTGCAGACTTGTGTTTTCAGAGATGCCACACTACCACTATAAGAGACCAAGTGATCTCAGGAAAGCAAGCTTGTTGCTCCCAACTTGAGCTGGGCAGCATTAACCCTTCTAAATCAGTATGTCAAACTATACATTATGAGGTCAGGAGGAGGTGGTCTTCTGAGTAGGGTGCTTTGGATAAATGTTACCCTGTTGCCCCTACTTCCATAAGCAGCTCGCAGAGGGGAGTTTTCAGTACAAAGGTTCACTCTGCACCAGTGCACCCATTACTTTGAGCTTGTGAACTGCATTCGTATTCAAGGAATACCTTGGGTGTAGAAATACCCACCCACCCCCATCTCACCTTCCTCCACCTTCAGTGCTGTCTTGGCAAGTCAGGGACTTTTTCCAATCCAAAATGTATATATTTGAAGGAAGGTTAAAGTAATTTAGGAGCTAGTAATGGTTTTGGTTTCCCCAGTACCCAATGCTTTCATAGACTCGTAGAGTTGGAAAGGCACTGACAGTTAATCTAGCTCCCTGCAATGCAAGAATCTCAACTAAAACATCCATGAGAGATGGCTATCCAACCTCTGCTTAAAAACCTCCAGTGAAGGAGAGTCCACCACCTTACGAGGAAGTCTGTTCCACTGTCAAACAACTCTTGCTGCTGGAAAGTCCTTCCTGATGTTTAGTCGGAATCTCCTTTCTTGTAACCTGAAGCCATTGGTTTGAGTCCTACTCTCTGGGGCAGGAGAAAACAAGTTTGCTCTATCTTCCATGTGACAGGCCTTTAGATATTTAAAGGCGGCTATCATAATTCCTCTCAGTCTCCTCTTATTCAAGCTAAACATGCCCAATTCCCTCAACTGTTCCACCTTGCCAATATCCTCCTTAAATTGTGGCGCCCGGAACTGGACACAGTAGTCCAGGTTTCGTTTGGCCAAGGCAGAATAGGGCAGTACTATTACTTCTCTGGAAACAGTCAGGGCATGTATCCACAGCACTGACCAGAGGAGGAATGACCACTGAAAGGAGTGCAGAAAGAAGAGACACCATGGTACACCTGCATCAGCACAACCAGATGCCTTTCTCTGCCCCAGCTGCAACAAAACATGTCTCTCCCGTATCAGTCACTTCAGTCACAGCAGGCGCTGTAACTCTCCAGCGGTTTGACTTCTCCCCTCAAGGGACACTCTTCCATTGTCTCCCAAGATGGACTGATGCCAGCAGTATCACGTCCCTTGATCAGGACACTATACTTTTCTTGATTCAGCCTAGCTTTATCCCTCACATTATCCCTCACATTCCTAAATTGGTTTTTCCAGGGCTAGATTTGTAAGGTAGCTACAGAGTAGGATCCCAGCCAGTTTAACTGCCAAGTTGTGCCTGAATTACCTTGATGGTTCTGAATATGCTGATTCTGCTCCTTCCAAAACTCCTTGCTGGTCAAAGTATACTGGTGCTTGTAATAATCTAAATGTGAAAAGGGATGGAATGGCCACATTCCCTTACGTAGGAAGATTTAAAGCACAATTCTACACATGTCCCATTTAGCTCCATGGGGTTTACTCCCAGATAAACTATGTATAGGTCTGCAGAGATTTTTGGTACCCTGAGCAAATATTATCACTGCTGCAGGAGATTTGAGGAGAGCATATGGCAAAGATGAAAGAGATGCTCTTTCATATGGTGATAGTTGTATAGGTTTGGCTGCAAGTGTGAATGCTGGCAGAGGAGAAACAAAGTTTATGGCATCTGAGAAATTCATTAAGCATACCGACCTCATATTGTTTAATCTGGATTGGATTATATATGTTTTTCCTCCCAGATGTCCCAAGTGCTTTCTTCATTTTCACAGCCGCACAGAGGTAACATTCAGAATTGTCTGCTGTCCATCATTTGCTAGTGGCTCTGATAAAGAATCCTACCCCAGTTATCTCTTACACAAAGGAGGATACTAGATTGCTGTTGTAGAAGAGAAAGGTGGTAGGGTCTCAAAATTTCTAAAAGCCTCCATGACTGGCCTTAATTGCCTCCCTTTTAAAAGAATGGAGGCTGCATCACCCTTTCCTTCTGATTTTACAGCTCTTAGAGCCATTGGATAGGTAAAATATTGTTTCAGAAAGTGTGGATTAGGTAGGTTTGCCTTTAAATACCAACTGTGTCCAATTTCTCCTCAACCCCTAATCCTGGAGGCCATATTGTCTTTGAGACTTAGTAGTCTATGGGTAGAAAGAGTTGTGAGCTACCTTGGAAATTTGGAGAGTTTTATTGCAAATAGGCATTGCTGATATTTGGAAGAACAGGCGTGTGGGATTGGCCATGTAGAGAGGGACAGGGTACAAAATACATATCCTGGGCTGATATTAGTACCGTCCCCTCTGTCCCTTTTTTGGTGCATCACCTTTATGATTTGAGCATACATCTATATGAGAATGTGTAAGTAAGGACCAATGGTGCCTATCTATTCATAGGGGATATGACTTGCTTGTAGGAACTAATCATGTATTCAGTTGTCATTGGTTCAGGTATCTTACCAGTGATAAATCTGCATTTTAATCATCATATAAGTCTCAGGGAGCCTCATTTACTGATCCCTCCTCCTTCTTTTCATTCTCTTTCCTTTCTTTGGCTTAGAAATAGCAGGTTTCCCTGGGGAAATTGCTACCTCAAGTGCCTTGGCTCGTCAGAAGCATGAAGACTGTAACAACAGGTTTCATGGCATTGTACAAACTGTTGTTAAGAGGAAATATAGAATGTTTTTACAGTAGCATGGACAGTGCAGCTGCTTAAACCCTAGACCTGGCACCGCAGTTGTTAATACTGGAAACATAAACACTTGCAAGTGAAGCAGAGTTGGGTTGCATTAGTACTTGAACATTTAGACCTCCAAGTAAATGTCAGGTGCTTCCAGAGAAGTGTTATAGTCACTTAGGAATCAGCAGCTACTTATAGCCTAATGGATGTCAGCTGTGCTGTTATTTAAAGTACATATAAAATTATTGTTCTGCTCTATTCAAGTGGTACTTTTTATGAGTACAAGAAGCTTAGAACCCAATACCCTAGACACACAAGAGTTTATAAATATTCTGCCATCTTAAAGGAGACCTGCAATTTCAACTGGATGTATTAATTAATTAACCTTGTGTGTTATGATGCAACTATTGCATGAGGCATTTCGTTCATTCAACAGGTGAGTTTCATTGCTGCATAACAGCAATGTGTGTGGAAAGAACTGTGAGCTGCAAACCAGTCCATCATGGAAGGTACTACAAAAATCTGAGATACAGTATTGTTATTTTCATGGAGGCTTTGGGGGGGGGGGGGCGGAGAATAAAGTAAAGACATGAATGTGAACCAATTAAATATTTAGGTTGTGTGTGTGCATATGAGATGGGGGTGTATTTGCCATCAGTAAGTCCATTGGTCTCTCTTAGCCATGCCAGATAATTATAACCTCCATATTCAGAGGAAGTATACTTCTAGTTGCCAGGTGCTATGGACAAGCAATAGAGGGTGGCCATTGTCCTCTTGCTTTCTGTTTGGGAGCATTCCAGGGAAATCTGGTTGGTCAGTTGAGGAGAAGCCTGGAACAGAAGCAGCATATCTTCTTATTGGATGAGGAGAGCCTTTGCTTTTCAATGCTGTGCAGCCATTGCATTCTGAACAACAGTTGCTGCTGACTTAAAACCTTCCATGCCTACCTAGTCAAACTAGGGCTAGTATTCCTGCCAGGTGAGTGTCCCTTTTATACTGAAGAGTTAGCTTCACAAAACCAATCAAGGAACAGATATTGTATTATGTGATGTATCTCACCACTGCAGAAGGGTCACAGTGAGTCACTGCAGAATGTTTGAAGAAAGGGCTGAATTAAACAGGTGGGGCATGGGGAAATGATTTCAGATTATTAGCTTGCCTGGTGCTTAGGATTCATTATTAGTCAAAAGAAAAAGGGGGGCACATATGAAAGATTATGGATTTGTATGGCTGTATCTCTCTGGCTGTTGTACAAAACTAATTTCCTGTACTTTTGGCAGTTATTACTGGCATTGGGCCAAGTTGGTAAACTTTATGTGAGGTGTGAAGGATTGCAACTGCAGTCCCATGCCAAGTGACCCATGTTATATTAGAGGATGTGCCTAAATATGCAGTGCAAACTGAGTTTAGCCTTGGGTCTTGATATAAAGCAACAGGAGTTCAAATGCACCTTGTAAAAATGATTTTACTGAATCATTTAAATGCAAGTAAGAAAAGTTTGCAGCCTGTAGATGAAAATGATACTTGTACAGGGTCAGTGCCCAAAAAGAAACATGTCTGCAACCTCTCTCTTTGTGGGCTAGCCTAATATTGTTCAGGCCTCACAAGGAGACAGGCTGAGGCAGAGATCCCTTTTCTGCTGGAAGAAGGAAAATATTAGAGCCTTGTCACGGAGCAGTCTTTTGCCTCCACCAGGTGCTTTTCTCTGCTGAGACCAGGCGCCAAGCAGTTGGACGCTTCTTCCCCTTGTAGCCTTACGCAAAGCTTGCTACATTTCTCTCAGATCTATAGAGGCAGCTTTAGCCACCAGCCGGCATGCCAACGGGAGGACTGGCATTCTTTGCGTGAGAGCTGCCAGTTTTTGGAGCGCTGTCTTCTTCACGTCCCAATGTTTTTCATTTGCCCTGATTGGCCTTGGATGATGTTTAATAAATGAGCAAGACATTTACAGAGGAAGATCTCCCATAGTGCCTTTGAAAATTGCATTTTAACGAGGACCAATTTACACTCCATGGTAATAAACTGCAGTCTAGAGACCATGGTTATCGCAGGAAGCTTACAACCTTAGCCTGCTTTGCAGCTGAAGGAGGAGGCATGGGTAGTTTGAGTGTTTCTGAGTTTTACCCCAAGCAGAGAACTGTGGCAGACAGGTGATAGCCCGCCCTCTGTGTGACAATAGCAGAATCAGGAGGAAGCAGCCTACCCTACATGAGAGAATGTGGACGGCGTTGCCTGCTTGTACTCTGATGCCTGGTCTATATGAGCAACAGAACGAGATGGAAATTAGGTGGTGGAAACCTGAGATAGAACAGACTATACCACTTCAGACTGCAAACAGAGGATCACATCAGACCTCAGTTTGACTTTCCTGTCCTTATCAAAGAATCTTTTACAAGAGGGAGAATAATAAGAGAGAAAATCATTTAACAGATAACTTGATAAGAACTTGACTTCATTCAGCCAACATCCATTTGCTTCATTGCTAAGCAATGCTATAACTAGTGTCTCAGATGGAGCTCCAACTGAGGAAGGAGGGATTTTACACTTTCAAAAGTTATCCAGACACCAGCTTTTCCTGCTTTCGTCTTCATTTCTCCCCACCTCCAGGCACCAACTGATGTAGTCACCTGTTGCATAGAATGGCATCCCTGACATTGCTGCATATACATGTCTGTAGGACAATAGCATTCTCTTTTAGATTGCAGCTCTGCCTACAGAACCAGTGTTACAAATATCTCAGGCACCACACTAACAAGTTGCAGATAATGCCTGCTGGAGCACATTGGACAGTGTTATTGGTGTGGCCACTAGCTGAACTTTTTATGATGACACAACCCACTTCCCTAGTATCCAGCCAAATAAATTCCACAAGTGTGTACTATATCAAACTCCAATAAATTAAATTGTACTATAAACACAAATCATACATTGTCATACAGTTTATGAATGTTTTGGAGATGATGCTCTTTGAGACTAATGTTCTCCAAGACAATTGGGGGAACCAACCTCCAGAAGGAATGTTTTTTTAAAGGGGCTTCCAAAATGTAAGTTCTTACAAAAGGGAAATAAGTATGTGTAACCTTTCAGATGCACCTGTCATTAGACAGGGTGAGGTACCAGTGAGAGGCCTGTGACAATTAAAAAACAATATGTGGCTCAATTCAGAATGAGAACTTCCTTGCTGAGCATTCATTAAAAAAAAGCTCTGTGTCTTTCCAGGAGTTCTCCTGTGGCTCATATTTTTGGTACATGCACATGAGTGGTACTGCATGCATATGCATTACTTTTGGCACAATTAGTTTCATTTGGTACTACCTGCATGGCTGCAGTTATACCATTGTGGATGCTATCCTTTAGTGACTGTTTGCTGGCAGCATGATATTTTGTAAATTACATGTACGGTTTAGAAGTTCAGGGAATTTCACAGCAATCTGTGAGACTTTTGTTGAGAGTGAGGGATTAACATTAAATACTTTCTGTGCATACACCCACAAAGCATCTGGCTTTGGGCTGAATACTGATCACACACACAAAGTATCTTCTTTAACATTCTGAGCCGCAGAAGAACTTTAGAGGGAAGTGGCACTCGATTCAAAATAGAGCCAAGCATTATGAGCTGGACAATTTAATATATTGAACCAAGTAATTATGAACTTCATCACCATGACTTATTATAACTAAAAAGGGATTCAGAGCTTTAGATTCTGGACAGAGAAGCTCTCTCTTTAACCCTGCTTTCTTTTATTGTGTTAATTTTGTGAATGGTGCAGACGAGGCTGAAAATCTGTGGGTCAGTAAAAGAGCTATAGTAGGAGCTAATGGGAAGATTCACACAATTATAAATTAGGAAATTCCCGCCCCCGTCTTCCTCGTAGATCCCTTCAGTGCAGTGTCTAGCACTCAAGTCTCCTCTGCTTTAGCTACCTGAATCTGATGCAGCAGAAAGGCCAGCTTAAATGGCAAGACAGCCTGGATTCTCACCCAGAAAGCTAATAGCTAGGAAAGGGGTAAGCAGAAGAGGCCAAAGTGATACACTAAACAAAACGCTTTGCTAACACAAGGATAAATATGGTCTAGAACCCAGTGGGGAAGAGGCTAAGGGACTGGGTAGCTGCAGAAGGGAAAAGCTTGCCCCCTAGCCACTTCTCCCTAAAATGGGCTCCACTTAATGCTGACTTTTAGGAAATCTTATCCAACATTTGTACTTGGCAGGCAGGGGCAACTCCAGGGTTAAGGGGGCTTCAGGCAAAGTGACTCCTTCCACAGTGAAGGTACCCAGGTTGCCTTGCACTACTATGGTGTCAATCATAGTAGTGATCCAGTCAGTGCTGGCCGAAGAGGCGTTTTAATTGCACACACACAACAAAGAAAATTGACACTTTTTGCCAAGCTACCCAATAAAGTTCCTTTCCCACACTTCCAGTTACAACTTGCAAGTCAAAAGCATCTGTTTTTCCTTGTACAAACAAGAGTCCCAAATTTGTTTTGGATATGTCAATTAGCTCTTGAGTTATCACAGCCAGACCATGCACACAAATACTAAATTAGTGATTTCTCTTTGGGGGGGGGGGGATGGACGACAAACAAATTGTTAAGCTTATTCATCCTCCTCGGAATAACCTACAATTCAGCAAAAAAAAATCAATAGTTTAATTTTAGCATTTCATGTAGGCAGAACTGCATAACAAGCCCCTGAGAGATGCTATATTGGGGAAACTGAAAAATGTCAACTGGCGCTCACTGCCTGATGCCAGTTAGAGATCCCAGGGCAGCCACTGACAGAGGGTGCTGCTGGGCCCAAGGATGTAGCATGCTGGTATCAGGCCTGTAAAAAGGAGCTCATTGCTTTGAGGTTCTAAAGTTAGTCAGTTGAATAATTTCTGTTATGGGACACAAGAATCACTAGCCTCTTGGGCTTGCCGATCAGAAGATTGGCGATTTGAATCCCTGCGATGGGTTGAGTTCCCGCTGCTCTGTCCCAGCTCCTGCCAACCTAGCAATTTGAAAGCACGCCAGTGCAAGTAGATAAATAGGTACCGCTGTGGCGATAAGGTAAACAGTGTTTCCGTGCGCTCTGCTTTCCGTCACGGTGTTCCATTGCGCCAGAAGTGGTTTAGTCATGCTGGCCACATGACCTGGAAAGCGGTCTGTGGACAAACGCCGGCTCCCTCGGCCTGAAAGCGAGCTGAGCACCACAACCCCATAGTCGCCTTTGACTGGACTTAACCGTCCAGGGGTGCTTTACCTTTTTACCTTTTAATTTCTGTTATGGGGCAGCCTGGGAGAGGGCTTTCTCAGTAGCAATGCCCCATCTTTGGAGTGCTCTTCCATCCAGATATGGCTGGCACAAACGTCCTTACACTTTTGGTGCCAAGGGAAGGCACATATTCTCACCTAGGCTTAGGTTGGTACTTGATCTACTTCTGACTCACCTGCCCTGCTGCTGTTGTTTTATGTGTGCATATGTTATATTCATTTACTGTACTGGCCCTGGTGGTTTAGGGATATTTTTAAATAAATAACCAAAATAGCAGGCAATCCATTCACCTATGCTCTGTCTGCAGCGTCTTGCTCTCATTCTGACACCTCTTCTCGGTGGATGTTGAATGGGCAAAGGCCCCCATGTCCCATTTAAATCACAAAGCATGAATGAAGAGGTGACACGATCTGCAAATCAGGCTATATTTTCCCCTCAATGTGGGTTGCTTGTAAAATGTCTGATCCCCTGCAGGGCTCAGCATCAAAGTGTGTTGTGTCTTCTGATCTGGGCTCCCATAGTGGGTCTTTGAAAAACCTATTGTATTTCCAGATACCTTGCACCTGTGCTCCTCTAATATGGAACAACACAGAGAAGGTACTCCAGTGAGCGCATCTTTTAAGAGCACAAGGGGAGGCCAATTGAGAGCTGTTGCAGGATATGGGCCAGCCCACCCTTGTGGTTCAAGGACAAGCGGAGTTAGTTTCCTACATCCTTGAGGTGCAAGGACTTTGAGGCTGGCTGTGATATTTCAAAACTTGAGCATATACAGTCCACACCAACACTAGAAGACTGGCGGTGGGTGGATTTGGAATGGAATGGCTGAAGGTTATCAATTGGGACATGCAAATAGCACCTGGCTGTTAACCAGAAGGTTGGTGGCTTGAGCCCACCCAGGGAAGGCTTGGGGCATGATTCCTGCATTGCAGGGGGTTGGACTAGATGACCCCTGGGGTCTCTTCCAACTCTACAATTCTATGGCTCTAAGTACTGGGAGTTAGGACTCTGGAAGCAGAGGAAAAAATGAGGCATCCAGAAGGCTGGTTTGCCACTTACAAAATCAAGAGCACGTCTCCCTATGTTCCATAGTTGAATTTGGATAGCCAAATAAGTCTGACTGCTTGACTTTTGCAACTATATAGATGGAGAAGTGGTAACACATGCACTATGTTAACACATTAGAATACTTTGTATATCTTCTCTTCACTAGATCTTCATTCCTCTGGTTTCAGGTTCAAGAAACCACCATGATACCTTTCTATATCATTACATTTCCAAGGTTCCCTAGCTGGGAACTACATACAGGTGAACCATTTCTGAATTCTTGGGGCTAAACTGAGAGATGTAACACACACACCCGCCACACAGAGAGCGCTGATGGCAACTTTGAGGCTTTATATTGAGAAAAATAGTACAGAGAGCAAGAGTAGTAAGTCACCCTCTCCCAGAGCACCGCTTTCCTGATTTTCATATCCACCTCATGGGGCCACTAATTAGAAAAACGATGGTTCTTCTGCACTGTGCCTAGTTTGAGCTTCCACCTTTGCCACAAGCTGCTTTTAGCCAAGGTAACAGAGATGATGATAATGATGATGATGATGATAATTATTATAATAATAATTATTATAATTATCATTTTATTATTTATACCCTGCCCATCTGGCT